CTCTATGGTAGACTGCACGGACTCATGCAAGCAAGCTGAACCAAAGACATAATCACGACTCCATATCGGAGCCTAGACATCGCTGTTGGAGAGGAGGTGACTGGGGTGAATTAGTGATGCTTAACATTAGGAGCTCTTCAATGAATTTGATTAAGGAGCAAATAACTTAGTTAACATGGATCAGGCAACGCCATCAGGCTCTGGAATGCCTCCTCTTAGCATCTATCATTCAATTAATGCTAAGAATTTAAAAAAATTATAAGCATCAGCAGTGGAAGAAGTTGACAAGATAGTCTCAGTCCAGCACTGCCATTCAGGTATAGACAGTAAGAGACAGAAATGAGTGCGGTGGGAACACGGCAAGGCACTCCGAGCTGCCCTCCGTCCTCATGTGATCTGCAGAGTCACAGTTTCTGGCGGATTCAAGAGCCAAAAAAAATGTCCCCAGGATGGATGTGTACATTCCACAAAGAAACAGCCTCTGCGTGCAGCTCTGTTGCTTTTGAAGCATAAGTGAGATGAAACACGAAACCCACATAAATGCATGCATTCTACCCACTGGTTAGGCTGGAATGAAGATCTCGGATTGAGAAGGTTAGTGCTATACTCGAAAGGCTTAAACACATTGAGATTCTCTTTAATTGTGAGATTAGTTCACTGCACACGACATAATTGTTTTTTGTGTTCATAATTTTATGACTTGGGGTGAGGATCTAGAACTGGAGTTTCAGGGTTCGGGTCCAGCCTGACACGACAGATGCTCCTGTGCCTTGGGAGAGCGTGTGGAACCTGCCTATCATTTCACCTTTCGCAAGATGGAGCCAGTCGCGGTGTTTGCTGCACAGAAGTGTCGGAGAGAGCCAGAAGATGTGCAAGCACTATGTTTAACACACTGTAGATAACCAACAACATAGTAGCTTTTGTTGCATAGGGAGAGTCACACAGTCAGTAATGTAAAAGGCGCACTTAAGCTAGAGGAGAGAATTTTTTACTTTGTCATAATATATTAACTCATTAGAAAATGTTTAGAGTTGGAAAAATACATATAACCTTAGAAAAAAAGATAATATATTAGTGATATATATCTGGAAAAAATATGCTTTTTAAAAACTTTCTATATATATATATATATATATATATATATCTTCTTAAATAATGATGTAAGATTTATTATAATGGTCTCCTGGAATGTTTTGCCTTTAAAAATAAACTTTAAATTCTATTGCAATGAATTTTCCTGAAGTAAAGGACCTATTGTGTTTAGAAAAATATGTGAATGTAGGATAGAAAACCCCCACAATAATTGTCATGTTAATAATGACTGTATCTATGGCTATAACATGCAATATTTAGTAGCTGTGATTTGGTAGATTAACAAAAGAAAGCTCTAAATGAATCAATTAGGGTTTTCACAAAGGAAATGTATTTCTGCGTTTTGTAGCATAGCAATTTCCATAGATGGTAGCAATTCACAACAAGGATTATTAGTACAAATGTGAGCTTCCTGGAAGGGGTCCGCACGCAGCGCTTCTTTGCCACACGGTTCCCACAAACAATAGGCCACCATTCATTACTCTGACTGTGTATTATTATTACTTCAGCTTACGATGGGGACAGCAAGCTCCTCCAAATTGGCTGTGGCCTGAGAGGGCTGAAAGAACAATGCTGCCAAATGGTGGTGATTGTGTGTCAGAAGTCACACTCTGTCCGGGAGAGAGCGAGCTGAAGGTGGGCTGGAAAGGAGCCCCAGGAGAACGCTGGGTGTCGCGTCACCCACTGACACACAATTACACGGCTTTGAATCGGATCCATGACACAATCCATGATGATTACGCTACTTAGGGAAGCCAGAAGACAGATGAAAATGCTTAATTTGCTTGTTCTCAAATGTGGCAATTTGCCTAATGAATGAAAGTGACTTCATAAAATGTCAAGGTTATCTTTTTGTTTCAAGTCTGGGATACAAGCACAGCCTTACGAAGGCTCCCAGTGCGGCGCTATAATGGACTGGAAATGAGGCACGCGGGGCGTCACACGGTTCCCGAGCTACAGGCGCAGGTCAAGATAAACAGAAGAGTTGGTCAGAACAAATGTGTCGCTAATGGCGCGAGACACACTTTCACACGCTGGCCAGCCACGAGGCTGTGTAAACACCTTCCGGAGAGCAGGCAGACCTGTAGTCTCTGCAGTTTTATTTCATTTTAGCATCTGTCAGCAACATGTTGTATTGCCCGAGTGGCACATAAATCCTGTGGGGCAAGTACGTAAAAAGTAGTAAATATTTCTGTTCAATGTGACAGTGGAGAATATAAAATATAGAATATAAAAAATACAGAAAATGGGGCTTTGCAGTGGCACTCCGGCGGTCACTCCTGGCAGGCTGGGGCTGGCTGCTGAAGCTGCAGTCTAGTCAGCACCAAGCGGAGCTCCAGCCCGGACCTTCTCTCTCTCTCTCTCTCTCTCTCTCTCTCTCTCTCTCTCTCTCTCGGTTGAACCAGGGATTGAACTCAGGCCCTCGCGCTTGCCAGGCAAGCGCTTATTCTACTGAGCTGTCTCCCCGGCCCCGGTAGTTCAGATCTTAAAGTGCTTCTCTTTGTCCTGTGGTTTCCTGCAATTATTGGGACCATCTGGAAAGAAAGAAAAATGCTTTTTGGCAGTGAATCATCTGCATGGTTAGTAGAGTCCTCAGAGAAAGATATGTCAGAAGCTTTTGTGTTATAAAATTAATCCATTATTGAAGTTTAGAATGCACTTTACATAAAAGAATCCATGAGACAAAGGGTCGTATTGCTCAAAATAAGGAAATTTGAAGAGAAATGTGAAGTGGTTTGGAAATGTCGCTGATATATCTTTAAACTGGAGAAATAACTCAGCAGGTCAAATAAAGGTAGAAAACAGGAACCAACCCAGACAAGGTGGCACACACCTGCAATGTCAGTGCTTGGGAGGCGGGAAGAGGGTGGCCACGGGTGGAGGCCAGCATGCCCAGCAGGGGCACAAAGCAAGCCTGGGATATGTGCTGAGGTCTGCCTCAACAAGGACACATTTAAAATATCTAGTCTTCCAAATACCTGTCCCCTGACTGACACTTTTATAGTGCATGAAACTAGAGGGGCAGGGCCTGGTGTTCAGCAGCAGACTGAGTGCTGAATCAGAAAAGACGAAGCTGCTAAATCAAGGCCCCAGGATTGGTGGTGGGAACCACCTCAAAACAGGGCATCGCTGGCATTTCATTTCAGTCTTAGAAGCTGGCTCTTACAGAGACATTAAGCAATGGAATTTTTTATTTGGGGGTACTGGGACTTGAACCCAAGGCTACTACGTACAAGGCACCTTCTCATTGCTTTTTAAGACAAAAGTTAGAAAGGCTGATTATTATTTTTAAGCTTAGATCACCAGGTAAGCATCAAAATCAGTGACTGGTAAACTTTTTCTTTCAATAAAGATCAGATGAAAATACACCCAAAACAAAATGGCATGACTTGTGGTTTTGACTTAGATAGTAGTATGAAAGCAGCAAGCATTCAGTGGAAAGGTTCTCTGATGTTTGAATATCTGTCTCTTTGGGCTAAAAATCTGTGCTGAATGATACTTTCATGATTTCCACTCTGCCACAGTCTTTAATATAAAGACTGTGTATATTAAATATGTGTTCAACTTGTAATAGTTTAACTTACTTGGGTTTATCTGGAGGCAAAGTTAAAGCCATTGCAGATCCTTGTTATAGATCCAGGGTGATCTACACTTTTGGCTTTGTGTGCTAGGCGGCTTCTGTTCAGTTAACTCAGTCTGCCTTTGTAATTCCAAAGCAAACTTCGAAACTATGGGAATGAAGACAATTGGCTGTTTCCCAATAACACCTTATTTATAAAACAACCACTGGGACTTACTTCACCAGCAGAATTCAAGTTGGCCACACCTCCTCCAATACTTTATTAATATTGAATTTTTTTTTTTTAATTCTAGAAGAATGACAGTAAAGTCCCGACAGTAAGGATATTTTTTCTGCTTACTCCCCTGGTAAATATCCTACAGTGCCCATCATTTTTTATCAATATGTTAGTAAGAATGGATACAGAACAGAAAGCAGTCAAATATTTGCTGTACTTTGTTTCTGTTTAAAAAAAGTATCAAGAATACTGTTGGAAAGTGTTCTATTACAATACCAAATCAGTACATTGTTTATTTTAAATATATCATGATTATTGAAGTCTCATATACTTAATTTTCTGTGATCATTGGTGGGGACTTAGTATGATCTAATCTTTGCAAAAACTAATAGTTCTACATAATAGCTGGAAAATGGAATACTTCTCTTATGCCGTCGCAAGATAAGGAAAGAAAATCAGAGAGGTTTACCTTTACTGCTTGCTGTCAGACCATACCTGGACTCAGCCTTATCAGCTTTCTATGACACCTATGTATGTGTGTGAATGTTGATGTTCATGTGTTTATATAAAACTTTATATGCAAATGTACTAGCACACGAATGTGTAGCAATAAACTCATCTGACAAGCTCTCATTCCACAACTGCATTGTCCTATCTGATGAGATACAAGTTTTGCCAAAAACTGAATGAAAAATATAGTTACATGTGTGTTCCACATTTACAACTGCAAAGTGATCACCAATAATTTTAAGTCAAAATGTGGCTTAAAACATGACTCTGAAATGAGAGGATGAAAATAAGAAGCAAATGATAAGGGCTATTTTTCAGGATATAATAGGCTTATTATTCCAGCTCTGCCTTCTGTCAAATGTTCCCTGAGCCACTCTCACGCATTTTTCAACTTGGCATTTCCGCATGTTGCCAAGACAGGTCCCTTGCTCTCAATCTCAGGGGTGCAACTTTCAAGGAGTCCCACAGGGAATAATTTATGGTGCAAGATTACTTCCCGGCTAAAGAAGATGTCGGTAAGCACTGAGGTGCTACGTAACTGCCCGGCTGGTGGCGGCGGGCCAGCCCAGGACTGTGGGCGTGAGCTTCATCTCAGCTTACCTTTCGCGTTCTTGCCGTGGTCCATCACGTGTGGACAGGAAGCTCCAGGGCATTGGCATGATGAGTAGAGGCCGTTCCGTACAGTCACCGCCAAGAAAGCACGCACTCAGGGCTTTATCGGTTTTAGTTTTATCAGTGATACGAAAGGTCTTTTTGAAGCTGTATCCCCAATATAAAATATTAGGTGCTTGACATTACAAGAGAGCATCAGTCTCACTCCAGCGAAACCTATGATAAGAAAGGTGTGTGGGGAGAGGTCAAATTCTTACATTAATTTGCTACTCAGCATAAGTAGCAAATTAAATCTTTAGATAATGACGTATTTTAATACTGCATCAAGAATAAACACTATATGAGAAAAGTGCTCTTGACATTCCTGTAATATTTAAATTATACCTTTTATTAGATAAATATTTTTAAACAAGCGGTTATTTTAATTTTAATAACTTGCCCTAGTTTCAGCACCAGCAACATAAAAGGAGAAGGCTAACACAAACTATCTCTGACACCAAAATAGAAAGGATGTTTTCATTTTAGGGTTTGCAACATAAGAAAATACATTTTATAAAACAAAGTAAAAGAAAAAAAAAGATTTTTTTTCTTTACTTCTGAGAATACTTAAGAAAGAATCACATTTTGGTAGTAAAATTTTGAATTCTACTGAATTTTCTAGAATAAAATACACACACCCACATACATGACTGCAATACATTTTAGCTAGCAGATAAATCATGACAATATTTTATGGCAATAGTCTATGCAGAAACATCCGTCTCCTCCGAAACACCCCATATAATCTCATAGCCTACATAAGCAAGTAAAACCTTTTTTTTTTTTTTTTTTTTTTTTTTGGTAGCTCGAGATTAATGAATTATTCTCCTGCTTTAGTAAGACTTTACAAGCTCTTACTGCCTTTCCTCTTTTCCTACAAAAACTGAAATGACAAAGCTCTTTCAAATTTACATAAATTTACAAATGATGTTAAACTCTGTCTTCCAACTGCT